CCTTTCTCCTGGTCCTGTAGTCCCACCTATCCTTCCTGCCTGGCTATAAGCCAAACAGTGTTTTATTCATCAACCATTAAAAGAAGCATATATAGAAGAGGACATCCCCATCACCCCTCATCTTAGGCTTCATGCCTTTTGATGAACTTGAGTCTTCACCAGATAGAACCTCTGATGGGAAAAGATTTTATCTCAGGAAATCATCCCTATTGTCCCAAGGTAGCACTGGAAGTTTCTCTTCAGCGGCACTGATCCAAAACCATAACCGTAACTATCTGTCTTCAACTCCATCAAAGACCTCAGAAGGATAATATATAAACTATAGAATTGACAGAGACTGTTCCCTCCTCCTCCCTCTGCCAGCCACTTGAGGTGAGTCTGGATGCTGTTCCAGCCACAACTACCCCCACCCCCTGCTCCTCCCCTGCTTCTCCCATAGAGTGGACGCACCCAGGCAAGGAGGACCACCCTGAGACCTGACACACCTCACTCTTGGGTCTCCCTCCACCCTCTGCCGTCTGCTTGAGGCGATCTGAGCTTTCTTCTGGCCCCAACTCCCCCATTGGCCCTTCTTTACTTCTTCCTGGGTCTGCCCCTCAAGTAGAGTGGGATTTCCAGGCAGGAAAGCCCATCCTGAGTCCTGAAACACCTCAACCTTGGACCCCCTCCACCCTCTGCCCGCTGCTTGATGTGAGCCTGAGCGCTGGCCTTGACCCAACTCCCCTCAACATCAGCTCCTTAGATCTTCCTGGGCCTACTCCTCCCATAGTCCAGACACACCTCTGCCTTGGTTCCCCTTCCACCCTCCACCCTTTGCTTGAGGAGACTAGAGGAGAGGGAGAGACCCTACCTGCCCTCACTGGAAGAAGGGATGGGAACACTCCAGTATAAGAACACCCTCAACAACAGAAAGACCAATATGACACCAGCAGAATCTAGGGACTTCATACCAGCAAGACCTGAAAAGCACAATACAGATGAAGAAGAAGAGACAGACCTTAAAAATTACTTTATGAAGACGATAGAGACCCTTAAAGAGGGCCATATTGGTCTTTCTGTTGTTGAGTGAGAACTTATTCTGTCTTCTTCCCATATCTTCTTCTAGTGGGTGCAGGTGGGGTCTCTCTATCTCCTCTTGTGACCCAGTGGTGTGTGGGGGCCAGGAATTCAATGACTGCAGCTCGGGATGGTCTTGCCTCTCCTGGTTGTCTCCTCACTCTCCTTGTGGATTGGTCGGGGGAAAGGGATTGAGGAGTGGGGTGTTTCCAAACTCAGGGAAACACCTGAGTGTTTCCTGTCTGGGCGGGTCTTCCCCAAGCAGGCACAGGCCAGGGGAGGTCGGGGTTGAGTGATGGTTTGGACAGGGATTGGGTAAGAGCAGAGGCTCACTCACCTCATTGCAGATTAGTCGTCGGAAAGGTATGGAAGAGTGGCATGTTACCAGATTCAGGGAGCTCCTCCCTGCCTGGGTGTGTCTACCCCAAGCCGGCAGGCATAGGCAGGGCTGTCAGGGTGAGTGAAGGTTTGGAAGGGGGTTGGGTAAGAGCAGAGGCTCACTCACCTGGTTGGGGACCAGTAGGCAGAAAGGGATGGAAGAGAGGGGGGATTCTTGAAATTTGCAGGCAAATGGATGGCATTAGATGAAACCATCCTGAGTGAGGTAACCCAGTCACAAAAAGACAAACATGGTATGTACTCATTCATAAATGAATTTTAGACGTGGAGCAGGGGATGGCCAGCCTACAATCCCATTGCCAGAAAGTCTGGGAAACAGCGAGGACCCTAAGAGAGACATGCATGGTACCCTGGAGAAGGGGAAGGGGAGAGGATCTCCTGAGTGGATTGGGAGCATGGAGAGTGGAGAGGGTTCTGGGAGAAAGAGAGGGGGAGAAGGAGTGGAGAGGAGGTCATGGAGGAGCAGGAAGTTTGAGTCGGGGGAAGAATAGAGGAGAGCAGGATGAGAGATTCTATAATAGAGGGAGCTTTTATAGGTTTGAGGAGAGATCTGGCATAGGGAGATTTCCAGAGATCTGCAAGGATGACACCAACTGGCTATCTAAGCAATAGTAGAGAGGTTCCCTTCAATGCCCTTCCCTGATAGTGAGATTGACGACTACCTTATATGATATCCTAGAGCCTTCATCAATTTGCTGATGGAAGAAGAGGCAGACACCCACAGCTAACTACTGAACTGATCTCCTGGAGTCTGCTTGCAGAGGAGGGAGGAGTGATAAGCAAAGGGGTCAAGAACGGCCTGTCAAACCCAAATGACATCTGACCTGAACAAGCAGAGTTTATGGACCCCATACTGATGGGTGGGAGGCCAGCATGGGACTGATCCAGACACCATGAACGTGGGTGTCAGTAAGGAGGCCTCGGCAATCTATGGGGCCTCTGGTAGTAGATCAGTAGTTTTCCCTGGCATACAAATGTACATTGGGAGCCCATTCCAGGTGAAGGGATGCTCTCTCAACCTGGATACATGGGGGAGGGACTAGGCCGGGACCTGGATGATATGACAGACTTTGTGGATCCCCGATGGAGGGCCTCAGCATTCCTGTGGATTGGAGGCATGATGGATTGGGGCATTGGGAGACTTTGTGGAGGGCAGTGGTAGAGGTGAGGTAGAGGGAGCTGTTATTGCCATGTGAAGCAAACTTGTTTCTAATTAAAATAAAATAAATTTTAATAAAAGAAAAAGGATCAATTGACAACCGGGTTATAATTTCTTTTTTTTTTAAAGATTTTATTTAATATGTATACAACATTCTGCTTCCATGTCTATCTGCACACCAGAAGAGGGCAGCAGACCTCATAGCAGATGGTTGTGAGCCTCCACATGGTTGCTGGGAATTGAACTGAGGACCTCTGGAAGAGCAGCCAGTGCTTTCAACCTCTGAGCCATCTCTCCATCCTCAGCTTATAATTTCTTAAGATGTGAGAGGGGGAGTTCATGTGTTTAACTCCATCCCTAAGTGTGGCTAGTAAATGAAGACATTTTTAATCGAAAAATATAGAAAAGGAGGAGAAATGGAGCTGTGCTCTCTTTTGCTCTGGAGGCAGGTTGGAACAGTGCCAGTGTAGCCATGGCAACGTGCATAGGCTGCAAAAGGAAAAGTGTGTTTTTAAAAGGTTGACATTATTACTACTAGAAGTGAAGTTTGACACCTTCCAGACCATTTTCAGAATCCTAAGACTTCCATGAGTACTCAGTACCTGTTTGCTAACTGTTGAGTGACCCAGATACAAGAGACACAATCCAAGAAGCCCAGCACCTACGGAGATAGAAGCATGAAGAAGCACAAAGGTGATGCTATTGGACTAAATGAAGCATGTTTATTTTGTTTTGTTTTGTTTTTCAAGACAGGGTTTCTCCTATAACCCTGGCAGCACTGGAACTCACTCGGTAGATCAGGCTGGCCTCGGGCTCATAGAGATGTATCTTTGTCTCCTTCCCAGGTGTTTGTATTGAAGGTGAATGCCACCACACCCACCTAGAATGAACAGTTATTGAGGATGAAAAGAGAAAAACTAGGAATAGACTAGTAGGCCAATGCAGTAGGGGCACAGATGGAAATCAGAAACAACTGTATTTAGTATGAACACTGAGAACTTTCCCTCTAATACCTGGACCAGCACAAGGATGCTGCTGTGGCCACCTCTGTTCAACAAATCAGAGAGATGACCCCCCTGAGCCTCACCTAGACAGCACAGGAGATCTGCCAGGTGGTTGAAGCTGAGGATTGCAGAGCCCTGATATTATGAATAAATAAAGAAATTTGAGAAAGTGAATTCTTTTTAATGGTGAAACCAGACAAACGGGGCAGAGAGGATTTAGGCCTGTGCAGTAGGCATACACGTGGAAACCCCATCCAACTCAGTACTCAGCAGGGACACTGGCAGCTTTCCCTCTCCAACTAGGATCCACACAAAGATGCTGCTGTGGCCACTTCTGCTCAGTGTTCCCTTGGGAGTCCTATACAGAGCAATTAGACAAGATAAAGCAATGAAAGGTGTCCAATGCTGTAAAATGTGTCTGCAGATGTCATGAATTTACCCATAGAAAATCCTAAGGATTCTACAGAAATTTCTGACACTGGTGAGCAAACAAACCCACCTGAGCAGTACTTGTGTAAATGAATAATGACCACAAACAGTTGGATGTCCTGCCTTGTCACGTAGCACAGAGAAAGAAACAGATGGGGTTGCACAGGACGGGAAGAAATGGACTGGATTGAAAATGATTTGGAGATAGCCAATGGTGATGGCCACAAGAGAATATGAATGTGCTCATGCTACTCATGTGCCCACTTCAATATGGCCAAATGGGAAATCCCGTATTTGTCTAAAAAATTTTAACACGAAAATAAATGTTGTGTATGTCACCCTGTGAATGCCAGTCTCTGGATAGGAATAGTGCAGGTCAGCCTTTTACCATGTTTTTTTTTCATGTGTGCCTCAAACAAACTATGGATCAGAACTATTTAGTAAACAATTATGTGCACAGGGAAAGAGAGCAGTCCCTTTTCCTGTCAGTCTTACTCCGGACACATGAACGACAGGTGTCTAGGCAACATTGGGGTTATATGACTCAGTTATGAATGGAATGTATCTGAGCATATGATAGGGTGCATTTATCTCCATACAAACACTGCCCCATGTTAACAGGCGACTCAGAGCATCCAGAACTTTAGGGGCTCATGGAATTTGTTTCCATGGATTCTGAGAATTATCTATATATTTGATCTACAACCTAAGCTCTTAACTCCCCTAGTTGTGTTTACTATATTAATTTCTTCTTTTCCCCTTTGGCAATGAAGCCTATCTTTATGTTCTGGCCTACCCTGCGAAACACCGTTATCCAAGGATTAGAGTCATGAGTCACCATGCTGGCTGTACCTGAGTGGTGACTCATCATTTTTACCACATAAAATTTCTACTTGTTGTACCAAACCAATAAAGAAATGCCCCAAATCTACTGTCAGATGAGTGGAAAGAGGTCAGGCATTCCTCACAACCAGGCTAACTGGGAGACTGGTCTTTGAGCTGCCTGGGTTGAACACCTCACACTGATAATCTCCAGCATCTTCAATTCTGACAGGATCTATGCTGAGTTGGCACTTTGTCGGGGACAATGTCATCCTCTCTGTGAGCTGCAGACTTCGGTTATTGAAGATCCAACGGATGGAGACTCCAGTATCACCAGGGAGACAGGTGACGACCACAGAGCTCTGTGCTGTAACTGTGGTGCTGGTGACTCTAATAATGGGCTGTGTCACAGGCTCTGTGAAGCAAAAGAGGGAGTGGAAATGACAATAACCCTTCTGAGATGTCAAACAGCCCCTCTGTAGTCAATGGACACTTAATCAACCCTCCAGGGCGGAGACATCGGGGCCATGACAATGGAGAGATTTCTTGTGGTTTCTATCTGTCACCTATGGCCATGTGGCCCTGATTTATTCTCTGTGTTTCCTGGTCTGTTTCCCTTCACCAGTGCACTCAGTGCATGATCATTTTCAGGGCCCCGTGTTGAGCTTGAAATGGGGAGCTGCACAAATCCACAGCATCTTTTGCTATTTTCCTGCAGAAGAGAATTCCCTAGATTGGACCCCTCAGGAATTGGTACGCCTGGAGAATTGTCACCTCTGTCCCTCCCCTTGGGCAGCCTGGCCTTCCCCTGAAGTCTCCGAAGCCCATAAAAGAGTTGGCTTAATCCTGGAACCTGTCCACTGAGATTCGGATGTAGAAGAAACCTAGATGACCTAGCTAGCTGCAACTGTCATGGCAATACACAGTTGGTTTCATACTCTATGGGTGTAGGATAATTGGTGAAAGCCTTGTAGCAGGCCATCTCTAACAGGTCGTCAAATACTAGCCCTGGAGACAAGCTCTCCATGGTCACCTGGAGTTGAGTCTGTAACAGAGGTCTGGATCCAGGGCTGCCTGATGCTCCCCTCACCATGATGAAAACATAGTTTTCCTGATACGCCTTACCTGACTCTAATGAGGTCTTGCTCAAGGACATGCTCATGGTGAGAGCCCCAAAATTCTGAGGGCTAATGACATCTTTGGGCTGAGTTACTCAGCACAATCCTCTTCTGTAGGTGGAGTCAGGTGAGGGATTCCAGTCTGTTTTAGTATGTCTACCCTACGTTTGTCCTACCCTATATGCTCAAGTCCCAATGTGGAGACAGAATGTAAACTGGAGGATCTCAGTCTCCAACAGTCAGTCCTGAGTGTAGAAAGGGAAATCAGCCTCACCAGAACCCAGAGGTCCTAGAGAATCACTTACTGTATATGTGGAGGTACACATGAGTTTCTTGAGTTTCTAACTGTGCATTTAAGGTTATTAGGGTGTAGTATCCAGTGTCATTCTTGGTGGTGTTTGGAGCATCAGGGTTCCATTGAAGTACACAATCTCTCTACCGCTGTGTGCAGGCCCCAGCAAAGTTTTCTTAGTAATTATTTCCTTCCATGCAATTTCATGTCTGCTGACAATGATTACTCCTTTGTACCAGGAAAAGGCTCGAAGGTTCTTTGGGATATTACGAGGCAGTAGGAGAGCACTTTCCCCTTCAACAACATTGGGTGGCATTGTCTCAATAGAGTACTGGGCTGTAATGGGTGGAAGCCTGCAGTCTGAAAGGAAGGGGCGAGAAAGAGGGACAACCCGTGTCACTTCCCGTGTGGAGATCTGTCTCCTCCCGTGTTTACACACTCACTGTTTTCACATGCCTGCTCACACTCAGAAAACTTGGAGGTGGGGTGCCTTCCCACACTTCTTCCTCTACAGACCCCAGTCTTTCCATTCTGACACCTTGTCGTCTTATCTCTCTGTATATGGTCAAAGTCTGTCTTCATTCTGAGATGATTTCCTAGTCTTTCTTCCAGGCCACTAGAGCTGGGGGCTTATTAGAAAAACTAGTTTGATCTTTCTGGAAGGCCTGGCACACGAACATGCTGAGATACATGTGGTGGATGGAAGAACAAATATCTATGGATTTTCATGTCCAGATATTTATGAAATTCTCATGTGTGCAGCTACTGTCACCAGTTACATGTCCAGCTGACATTAACTTGTGGGTGTGTGTGTGTGGAGTGTGTGTGGAGTGTGTGTGTGTGGTGTGTGTGTGTGTGTGTCTGTGTGTGTGTGTGTGGTGTGTGTGTGAGTGTGTGTGTGTGTGTGTGTGTGTGTGTGTGTGTGTGTGTGTGTAGTGTGTGTGTGCATGAGAATGTGTGTGACTTCCTATGTGTTTGTGTGAATGCAGGCAACAGCACCTATACTGAAGTCTTTCCTATCCTTCTCCTTTAGGAGACTCTAGCCAGTCTCTGAGCTATGCTCCCCCTCAAGCTCTCAGACAGTGTTCTTCTCTCCAGTGAACGGAGCCACTGCAGGGGCTGCACTGTTGGCAGAGAAGTGCACAGTGGCCTCCATAGGGGCCGCCATCTGCTCTGGGCTCCCTCTGTGTAGAACAGATTTTTCTCTAGCACTTCTCCCAATTGCTACAGACTTCCTCTCTCTGAGCTCTGCCTCTAGACAGGCAGGAGCCCTTCTGAGGTTAATGCATATTGTCAGCAATGCTGCCCAAGACCATTCTCTGTCCTGAAAGCTCTTAGTCTTGCTTGGTATCCTAGTCAGGTTTCCTCTCTATTTTTCAGTTCCACACACCATGCAATGAGTAACAAGGCTGGTGATCATCTCCGTGTCCTAGGACAACAACAGATCACCCCAGGGCTGCCCCTCAGCTATGCTCTCCCAACATGTCCTTTATGACATGGATCCTAGCAGAGCCCCTAGTCTGCCTTGTGCTCTGAATGCTTTGATAAGATGGGAGTTACTCCCTACAGAAAGGTGACATAGAAGTCTATGAAAGCTGAAAAAGGGCCATCTGAGTGATGCCTGGGAAGGGAGAGAGACCCACTCTCAATGGAGTCACCAGTCAGGGGTATGAAACCCAGGAGAGATTCATGAGGATATGAAGCAGGAGGGGACCTGGTCCCGGAGAGAGGTTGGGGACTCCATCAACCTAGGAAGAGTTTCAGAGGGACCCTCTATCTAGTTGAGCCATGCCATGGGTCTCTGCATGTCCTCCTGGGTGCAGCTGACATTTATCTATGTGAAGTCCTCATGGGATGTGCCAGGAGCCAGGGTGTGGTAATATAGGATCCTCTGGCAGAGAGGTGTGCTTAGAAACACAGGCAGCAACCAGGAAGCCTAAGAAGGCTGTATGGGACCTCCAGGTCTATAGGGTAATGGATGAAGGTAGGCTAAATTAAGCTCGTGGCTCCTGGAAATACTTTTCTAGGTATTGATTTTGTGTCTCTCTATAACCACCTACTTATTACCAGAGGTACCGCCCCTCCTGTCTGGGAGCTGTCCAGATCAGCACCTTGGTTACTATTTACCTGCAGGAGAGAGTTCCAGAGCTGGACCCCAGAGGACAATCACTTGCAAAAAGTCTCTGTCCTGTGCTACTCTACTTGTGGATCCTGACTTTCCTGTGAGATCTCATAATTCCATCAAAAGTTAGTTAGCTCCATGGGCACCTGACTGGCTACACTATCCATGTGCTATCTCTGAGGAAGACATCCAGGTGATATCTAAGCTAACTATAGCTCTCTTGACAGGGCACTAGGTGATTCCTCATATCAGGAAAGCCTTGTTCCCTGTCATCTTTCATAGGAAATCAAAACTAAGCAGTAACTAAAAGCTCCCAAGTGTCATCTGGAGTCTAGTCAGAGACAGAGATTTGCAGCCGGGGCTTCCTGGCACTCTGTGAGGATCCCATGACTTCATCAGCCAGAGCCTGCCTGCCTCCCACAATGTCTTTCTGGGGGCATGCCCATGGTGAGGGATCCATGGGTCCTGGCTGCAGCTGACATCCTGGGGTGAGCTTATCAAGCCCAGGTCCTCAACTCTACATGTAAAAAGAGGTGAGGGGTTCTGGTACATTACAGTTTGACTATTCCATGTGTGTCCTGCAGTAAGGGTCCAGACCCCCATGTAGGGACACAATGGGGGGAAGGGGAGCAGTCACAGCCAATTCCTGGGAGTTCAGTGTGTGAAGTATGATTAGCCACACCCAGCAGATGGAGATCTTAGAGAATCAGTTACTGTACACATGGAGTTGGACATGTGCTTTGTCAGTTTTGTAATCTCTGTTTAAAGTTTGTAGTGTGTAGAATCCTGCATCTCTCTCCATGACATCCTGGAGCAGAAGGGATCCATTGGCATACACCACTGCTCTTTTGCTCTAGGCAGGCCCATGGGTGATGTAATTCATGGCTGTGTTGTATTCTGCAATTTTAGAACTCTGGGTGCTATGCACTGATTTGTACCAGGTAAAGTCTCGCAGATCTTCTGGCAGATTGTGAACAAGGAGAAGAACGCTGTCCCCTTTAACCACATTCTGTGGTACTGGCTCTATCGTGAGTTGGTCAGAGTTACAGTACACAGAAAGGGATGCTGAAAGACAAAAGAAAAACTGTTATCACAAGGATCGTGTGCTTGGTGGAAAGATAGCAACCTTTATCCTTAACAGATGGATCCATCACTCAGCCTAAAGATGAGAGTGTGGGTGTTTGTAACCCACTTGGTAGATGTCAACATCATGACCTTCATTTCCTCAGTGACCCTGAGTATGTCATTTCCTCTACACTTTCCTGAACTCTTTCCTGAGGTGTCTGTACAGCTGCCCCACACCGCCCTCAGCCAAGCTCTGCACACTGAGGTTGAGATTATGCCCCCTCTGAACTTTTTCTCCACAGACCTCACATCCTCATTCTATAGCTTTTTTTCAATTTCTTGTGTGGCTCCACTCAACCCCCGACTTCAAATCTACCTGCTCTTGCTTCTCTGCCCTGAATACCACAAGTCTAGGACTGGATAAGGGCCAGAAGTCTGATGTTCTTGGCATCCTCAGCTGTTTTTGAAACGACTTAGATACTAGGATGGCTGGTTTTATGTCGTTGTCACACAAGCTACAGTCTTTTTGAAAGAAGGGAACTCAATTAAACGTGCCACCATACTGGTGGTCTGTGGGCAAATATATGGTCCAATGTTTTAAATTGGTGATTGATGTGGGAGGGTCCAGGCCAGTGAACGCAGTTCTGTTCCTATCCTAAGGGATCCAGGGTGACATAAGAGACAAGGCTGAACAAGCAATGAACTGAGCAAGCATTGAAGAGCAAATTGATAAGCATCACTCCTTCAATTTCTCTGCAATAGTTCCTAGATTTTATTCTTGAAAGTCATTTTTGGACAAAATAAATGCCCCAGTTTGACATGGACAGCCCAAAACCATTGCTCCCATTCAGCACTAAGAGGCATTCATAGTCTAGCCCTGGCAAAATGTCCCCCATGGTCACTAGCAGTTGGCCCTAGGAGAGTGGAGTGTGGCCGAGGCTTCCTGGTGACTGCCTCTTTGTTAAGATGCCATGTTTTCCTCAAGCAGACCCTGCATGATGCCTAAATCTTCTGTCTTACTGAAACGTGCATTGAGATGCCCAAGAGACTGAGCATAATCTGACATCTTAGGCTGAGTGACTTTGCATCAAGGATTTTCTTGATGCAGGGGGAGTCTGATGATGTAGGATGATCTATCACCATTTGTCTCCATCATGTGCGTCCTCCACTAAGTGCTCAAACGCCAACATGGGGACACTATGCACAAGCCAGAAAAGACAGTGTTCTGTGTCTAAATACCACGGAACACTGAATGATCACAAAGAATCACTTACTCTCTACCAGGAGTTGTACATGTGCTAATCCAACTTGCAGATCTGTGGTCACCGTTCGTATGGTGTAGAATCCAGTGTCATTCCTGGTGACATTCTGGAGCAGCAGGGATCCATTACTGTACACTGTCTCTCTACCACTGTGTGGAGGCCCTGGAGCACTTACATCTTTGTTCAGGTCATATAATCCAATTACATTGTTTGATATTTTTACCCCTTTGGACCAGACCAAGGTTGCAAGATTCTCTGGCAGATTCTGGACGAGAAGAAGGACATTTTCTCCTTCGACCACATGGGGTGGGACAGATTCAATAGTGACATGTTCAGCTGTGGTGGGGTAGTGCCAGAATGTTACAAGAGAGGCTAGAAGGGAACAGAAAAAAAAGAAATGATCAAGGTTGAGCAGGTGTCAAAGTTGGGCCCTGTGTCCAGAGCAGTTGTGTGCATTGCTCAGCCAAGATGTGTGTCTCTCTGTCATACTAGGCGAGTCAGGACATGAGCTCTATTCATTCAGTGTCCTGCACATGTCATGTTCTCTGTGTGACACCCTCTGATCAGTTGTTAACAGGTGCCAGCTCACTGCCCTCAGACCCTTGCTCACATTCAGTCTAGATTGGTGTTGGGGGTATAAATTCCTGGCTTCTATCCCTGTAATCCTTGACACCTGACTCTCTGAGTTTTCTGTTGTCTATGTTTTTTACTCTTGTGGTTCCAGCCAACCCCCGCCTTCACCTTTGATCTTTCTTTACTGGACTATCTTCAAGTCTACTTGGAATACATTTTTGTGAAGCCAGGTTAATCTCAATTTGGAAGGCATGCTGCCTAGAAAAGGTCCTGACACTCCTGGAGAATGAATGAATGAATGAATGAATGAATGAATGTGAAAATGAGCGTCACATGTTCCAAGGTTCTGCATATCCAGTCTTGTATTTAATTTTTACACGTATTTCCATTTCATGTATTCACAAATGCATGCTGGTGTGAACGCATGTGCCTTCCTGCATAGGGCTTGTGCCACAGTATGTGTGGGGCACAGTACAATTTTACGGAGTAAGAGGGTTCTCTCTTTCCACCACAGGAAAGCTGGGGGCTAAATTCAGGTCACTGGGCCTGGTGGAATTTGCCTTCACTCAATAAAAACCTCACTGATCCACCCAGGTTAGATTCTTTTCTTTCTCACCTGCTATAGCTGGGAGCATCTGTCTTAAGAATATAGCAACCAACCTGATTGTCATTGAATAGAAAACAGACTGGCTTTCATCCCTACCCCTTACCATTTCCTGTTCACTGACAACTTCCTGTTGCTGGACCTCTGTCCACCTCTTTACCACCTCCACTAAGGGGGTATGCAGACACCTTGATTCTCCTTCAGACTCTTGTCCACCGTAGAGACCCCACCCAGGGCCTGAGCTCCCCCTTCCCACACATGGCCAGG